TTTTGCTGCTATATTCATGCAGAGACATTTCCACTTACACCATCGCAGATGGTTTTTCTCCTCTATCTGTAATATCTCTATGTGTTTGGGTCGCAAAATAATATACTTAGACTGCTCGGATCGTTCTAAAATTTTTGTATGATAATTCTACATAAGTCTACTTTCGAAAAATGCAAAAAATAAAAATTAATTTTTTCAAAATTATAAACCAGAATGAACCCTTAAGGGAGTTGTACGCCCTGATGGAATCAGACGAATATAAAACAAGAGTCCGTGATTTCGCGATAGATCATAGAATATCGTGGCATTTCACCCCTCTCACCTCATTTTGGAGGTTTATGGGAAGCAGCCGTCAAATCTTTCAAACACCATTTCAAACGGGTCGTCGGTGAACTTCTCTTCACGTATGAAGAATTAACTACATTCGCGATCGAAATCGAAGCTATTTTAAATTCACGCCCATTATGCCCTATCTCGTCAGATCCGAATGACGTGACAGCACTAACACCCGCACATTTTTTAGTTGGAAGACCTATTACGACATTACCAGAGGAAGATTATGTTAAAACCCCAACCAATCGACTGTCTTCATGGAAACATATCACGAAGGTGCGACAAGATTTCTGGCGACGCTGGCATATTGAGTATCTACGAGAACTGCAGAAACGCAAAAAATTGATACAACCCCAGCAGAAAATCAAAAAGGACACCAAGGACCACGTGTTTGATTAATTTTATTCTAATCCCTTCTTCCTCATCCCCAGCAACTAATTACCAGAGGACTCTTAATTGAGGAATTTGGTCATAACTAATATCAAAAGTGTTTTATTACCTTAATTGCATCATAAAAAAGTTTTTAGATTTATAAAAATTTGATTCAAAAATATTGAAAAAATTTCGTTTTTTAACTACAAAGAATTCTAGACAATCCAATTTGAATAAATTATACTAATATTTTCATACAAGTGTGTACTTTTTAAAAATATTAAAAGTTTTTTAGTAGCTTGACTGCATCATAGAAAAATGTTTAGATTTATCAAAATTTAATGCCAAAATCTTAAAAAAATTTGTTTTTTTACTATAAAGAAAAATTTATAGGATTAAAAATAGATAAAGATAAACTCAAAATATCGAATAAAGTGTTTACATTGCGCAGATACCAAAAACTTGTTTGTAGTTTGCATGCATCACAGAAAAATTTTTAAATTTACCAAAATTTAATGTCAAAATCTTGGAAAAATTCGTTTTTTTACTAGAAAGAAAAATTCATGCTATTAGAAATCCATAAAAATACACTTAAAATGTTAAAAAATGTGTGTACATTGCGCAGATACTGAAAACTTGTTTGTAGCTTGCATAAATTATAGAAAAATTTTTAGATTTACCAAAATTTAAAGACAAAATCTGGAAAAAATTTTGTTATTTTACCATAAAAAATATTCCTATGATTCAAATTCGATAAAGTTACTCTTATTTGTCGAAAAGAGAGTATACTTTAAAAATATCAAAAGTGTTTTATTACCTTTGTTGAATTCTTTGCAGTATTCTTTATTCTGCGTTTATATTACCATATCTACAAACTGCAATCGATACTTTTATGTATATAAATAATATCTGATATCTAGTGTGGGACACAGAGTGTTTTGTTCTATCGATGAGCGGTCCTTCTTAATTTTTGTTTTCTTTATCCCTACCAAGGAGAAGCTGCATCTTAAGTGCTTGGCGACGAAATATTTTTCTTTTGGTTTATACGTTATTCGTTTATTCCTTTTTTACTGCTGATTAAGTAAAGACGTGCTTTCACCTTATCATATAAAATAAAGAGAAAATTATGTTATAAGAAAGAGTATTTTTAATATCCCCTATACCTCAATAGGTTATGGGCCCAGATCACGCTGTGCATTAATTGTTTTTAAGTTTTGTGTGTTGTTCATTTTAGATTTACTTGTATATATATAATTAGAGAAAATGAATATATCTAAAAACAGAAGGAACATACTGCAGTTTGACGGTACAAGATACAATGCGTGGAAACATAGAGAGAGAAATCTATTGCAAGAACTCGAGGTGTTGAAAGTGGTTGACGAAGGTTCTTCGTCATTAGCTACTACGGGTTGGTCTAAAGCTGAACGTATTGCCAAATGTACAATTGTACAATATCTAGCGGATACTCATCTCAAGTATGATACACCTGGTAGTAGAGCGAAGTCCATCTTGGCGAGTTTAGACGCAATTTATGAAAGCTAAAGTACGGCCACCGAATTGTCTATTAGAAAGAGGCTATTAAGCATAAAAATAAGAAATGACACAAAATTAAAGGAGCATTTCGAGACATTTGACGAATTAATAAATGAACTATCGGCTGCAGAAGTTATCGTGAGGGAGAATAAGGTAATCTCACTTCTCTTGTCAAGTTTACCCGAGGCGTATAGTACAGTGTCGGTTATCATCGAAACGATGATGACAGAAACCAACGTTACTCTGGAAATTGTAAAAAAGAAACTGCTTGACCGTGAGACAAATATTAATAGCGAGAGAATGGACACCAGTACAAAGGTGTTGCAAGTTGAGACTCCAGTAACAAGAAATTCTAAGTGGAATCATTTTAACAACGTAAGGTTT